GGCGTTGCCTGTATTAGTACGCAAGATGGATGTCATCTCGGAGAGGGTCGCCGGACGGTGTGGGGATGTTTAGAACATAAAATTGGCTTCACTGGTGGACATGAATGACCACTTATAGACTCCAAGGCAGAGAGGAAAATTATCTCTGCCTGCCCTAAACAAAGCCATGTTTATCCTTATCTGACGCCATAGCAGCCTCTCAAGGCTGATTCAACACACCCCCACGAAAGGAGGAATGCCGACAGATGCTGTGTCCCGACCTCCCCCCCCCCCCCCCCCCCCCCCGGCCTTCAGATTGTGTCTTCTGCTGAGGTCAGCGACCTGCGGGAAACTCAATGTGCTCTCTGGTCCTTATCTCTCCCTCCCACCTGTTGATCTGCAGCTGGTTGATGCGCTGTACCGGCAGCTCCCGTTAGAGGCTTCAGGATCCCGCCCAACCCCGCCTCCCCATCGGACTCTGATGTTGTATCTGTGCTGTTTGTGCTTCTATGTTGAGGAGTTTTTTTTTTGTATAATAAGAGTTACTCCCCGCTGGGGCTAACTCTGCTATGCCTTTTTTTACCTTACCCCCACTTATCCTCATGTAACACCCTTTTCATCTATCTATTAAGGTAGCGCGACTCATGTTGCGAATGACCGCAGTCACCAATTCTTGTCATGTGTCTTACCCACGCATGTCTGACCTCTGAATATTGTGTACTGAAACTCAGTTTCGTTTCTCTGTACGTCCTGCACATGTGGTAGAAATGACAATAAAAATGACTTTGACTTGACTTCTTTGGATCTAAAAAACATTTTAAATTAGCGGACTTACTTTTAAACTTGAAAATTGTCCCGAAGTAGCTGCCGGCTTCTGATCCGCCGTTCTTTAGAAAATACCGCGGTGTATTGTGGGTAATGTTTGACCAAGGCTAGGCTACAAGACACCTCCTGTGTGTCCTCGCTCAGCTAGCTAAACGGCTAACAAACGAGAGCACACGCCTCAGTAGAACATGAACATTGGAACACGCCTTGGTGGCTCCTGATGACGTATCTCCTAGGCAACCGGGGCGGGACCAAGACATCAAGGCAAGGTTCCTTCGCATTGAGAAACACCCTAAATCATCAGTGAAGGCGGAGCTTCTGGGTTCGTAGTTCCTAATGTTCCTGAAACGTTTCCCCACAGAGGCCGGGTCGTGATGCTGGAGCTCAGCTTTGGCCACTTCAGTGCTTGTCTAACCCCAGCTGTGTGGGTTCTGGGCTGAACCGGGCTGAGTCGTGGTTTAACTCACCCTGATGCTGACTGGTGGACGTGGGGTTAGGGTTAGGCAGTCTGGCTGCTAAGCATGTGCCCAGCTCTCCAGCATCACTGTTCCTCTCCACTTCCGACCCGGTTTCTACAGCTCCAAGGTCCAGATTGACCAAAAACCCGGAGTCAGACTCGTGACCACAGAACCGGGCTTTTGGAGCGGATGCTGACAACAGTGCAGAAGCAGAAACGGGTTTTCAGTGTGGTTCTGGTCCGATCCACCTCGGGATCAGATCCATGCATTTATGATGAATGAATGATGTTTCATCACCAATCATCCGCATGCTGGTGGAACATAAGGTTTGGTCTCACGTGTAATCCTGGATGCTTCTAATTAATCCCATGTTCACGTCAGCGTCACTCGCGGCCCTTTGAACGGGTCCACGCACATACGGCATGTCCCACCTGTCTGGGACGAGCCCAGGCACCGAACTAGACCTGCGTCTGACTTCTGCACGTTGCTACATATTCATGCTGCTAGACGTGTCAAAGGGAGAGGTCAGGGCAAAGGTCACCGCAGCCTTAGCCAAGAACGGTAGGGCAGGAAGTGGATGGGGCAGAGTGTCCCGTACTCATCTGAAAGAGGGAGGGGAGGCAGGGAGGAGTGTCAGTTACCAAGGCAACGAGTGATTTGGGAGGTGTCAACATGAAACCTTGCAGCAGGAGGAGAGGAAGGACAAACAGGTGTGTATCTCACAGGGACGGGGTGGCAGAACCTCCCCTGATCTGTTCAACCCTAACCCAACAAGTCACCACTGGTCCAGAACTCCTCCAGAACCCATTCCCTGATGTTCTGCTCTGTTCTGGCTGTCTGGACTCAAACTGGAGGTTCTTTAGTTCTGATTGGGTCTTTCTGAACCGAGGCCGTCCCATCCTGTGTCTAGGATTAAAACCAGTACTCACACTCGCCAAGAGTCTGCAGCTCCAGGGGGGCGCTGAACGCTCCGTAGTCTATGGGAGGTGGGGAGGAGGAGGGGCCAGAAGAAGAGGAGGAGGCTGCAGAGGAAGACAGAGATGAAGGAGCTGGTGATGAGAAGGGACGAATGAGGAAGATGTAGGTGGTGCCGGGTTTCAGATTGCTGACGCTGATTCTAGTGGCTGACGTCTTCACGGTGGAGTAACTCTGATCCTTGTGTTCCTGCAGAGAGGGAGACGGGGGAGACGGGCTTCAGCTGGGGGTGAGACGACTATAAGACACAGATCAGACAAGAG